CATGTCAAACTCGTGGCTGGCGGGTTTGTTCTAAAGGCTCCATTACTGCAGAACTAGAAAAAGTTAAGGGCAAAAGGAAGCTCAGATATAAAAGACGAATTTCATAAAAATATGTAACTGTCCACATTAAATTACTCTTCTCTCTTTAACCTTTGTCATAGAGCCCTCTGCAAGCTATTACCCTTCACCAGACTCCCTTTGTTTTTCTGTAAAATGACTCTTACCTTGCAGGGATGCTGTGAGGAGTACATGAGAAAATCATATGTGAAAGCACTTGTCACACAGCCTGGCAAATAAATGACTGGTGCTCAGTAAATGCTAATTTCCCTTCCCTGGGGCTTTTCTTTTTCTACCTTCCCTTCAGCCTCTCCTTTCAATGAAGGCTTATGGCTGTAGTTCCAGTGCAGCCGGTTTGCATAGTGGAACAATGACTAAACACTAAGATACCTGCACATTATCATGTCACTGCCCCAGCAGAAGAGCTCCCTCAGTGGGGAGGGGTTGTAATTTCCTCTGTCTAGGGCAGTGGTTGGCAAACTGCGGCTTGCAAGCCACATGCGGCTCTTTGGCCCCTTGAGTGTGGCTCTTCCACAAAATACCACGTATGGGCGCGCATGTACAGTGCGATTGAAACTTTGTGGCCTATGCGCAGAAGTCGGTATTTTGTGGAAGAGCCACACTCAAGGGGCCAAAGAGCCGCATGTGGCTTGCCGACCACTGGTCTAGGGCAAAGGGGTGTTCTCTTTCTTCCCTGGTGGCCTGGTCCAGAGAAAGGGCTACTCCTTGGGATGGGGTAGGGTAGGTATTAGTAACGGGAGATGGGGAGCTCTTGGAGTCTGGGCATAAAGGGGGAGGAGGGGAGTACTGAGGGGAGGACGGAGGGGAGCTGTACCTTTCTCAGGGCCCGGCTCTCCCAGCTTGGGTGGAGTCGGCTCTGGGGCTTGGCAAAGGTTCTGCTCAGGTGTGAGTACAGGTGACTCCAAACCTGCAAGGGGTTGTAGGTGGGCTCTAGCTCCAGGCCGTCCAGCAAGCTCTGAGGAAGAGAGGAGGAGGAACTTGAGATTGCAGAACACAAGATGTCAGGCAGAGCTCTTGGGGTGTAAGAGGCATGAACACTCAGGTGTCTCGGAAGACTGTGAAATAGATGAGTGTCCCACAGGGTGTTCTGGCCCCAGCTCTGATTGTGAGGCACGTGTGTGTCAGGCACAGGTACAAGAAGTCTGAGAACCCTGACTGGTTAGGGACACTGGCCCCGAGAGGTGTGTCATGGGATTCTGGAGCGTCATGAGGGTTATAAAGGATCCAGTGTGCAAGGCTGTGAGGGAGGGTGTGTCCCCGGCCTGCGGGTGCTTGCATTCAGCGAGTACAGAGTTCTGGCCTGCCTGTGCCGTGAGGTGAGCAGAACTAAAGGACACGCGAGCACAGCATTCCTGAGCAGTCAGGTTTTCCGGCCACAACATCCTGTGCCAGGAACCATTGGCCCTGAAGTGAGACGCTGCGTGAGCCACAGCCACTGTGCCCCCCTCTCTCGGCATCCCTGTGGCCGTCAAGCCGAGAGCACAATCCCAGGCTCTGTCCCCTCTGCACATAAGCCAGTGATCCAGCAGCGAGGTGGTTCCAGTTCTCCCCACCCAGAGCTGCCCTCCTGTCCTCCGACTGGGGAGGCTGGAGGAGGAAATCCAGACCCAAGGAAGAGGAGGAGGAGGAAATGGCCTTCAGAGCTGTTCCCCCCTTTGCACTCCAGTCTGATTTCGAAGCCCTTCCTATTCTGGGCACCTACATTGTGTGCCTTTTCACTTTCCCTCAACAGACAGAAATAGATGCACACAAACACAGGTACACATGCACACTTACAATGCAGAGTGACCGTGGGAACATACCACACTGCTTTCTTCCTCCTGCTCGGCCTCAGTTCCTACCCTTGCTTCTCTGACTCTCTCACCACACCCTTGGGGCCACTTCTCCCTCAGCTCCCTGTCCTTCAACTCACTGGCTCATTCCTCGCCCTCATCCCTTTCTTGAATTCCCTTCTCTCCCCTCTGTCTGTCTCATGAGACTTGGGCTCCACTTGCCTCCACGATCTTAAGGCTGTCATCAGGCGGGTTCTCAGGCAGCAGGGGGAAGGGGCTGGGCAGCATCAGTTCCCGCGTGGCCACTGCCTTTACCAGCAGAGTGGGGGAGCGTGATGGCATGATCACATAGAAGGTGGTGGCAGCCTCTCTCAGGCTGTGGCCTCGGCTCGGGGGTTCCCCTTTGGCCAACAGCAGCCATTCTCTTTTCTGAAACAAGGACATACATACACTCTGGTTCATCTTCAGTCTTTGGAACGTTTTGAAGGTCAATCCCAGCCAAGGTTTCCCCGAGGGAGGGGCTTCCTGCCTGAATCACCTGTGCCCCTAGGTACTCCTCTTTCTCCCCTGTGGGGATGTACACAAAAGTGTTGACAGGTCCAGCTGGTGTGGCTCAGTGGTTGAGCATAGGCCCATGAGCCAGGAAGTCATGGTTCGATTCCCAGTCAGGGCACATGCCCAGTTGAAGTTGTGAGCTCATTCCTCAGTGGATGTTGTGCAGGAGGCAGCCAATTCGATGTTTCTATCTCTCTACCCCTCTCCCTTCCTCTCTCTAAAATCAATAAAATATATACTTTTAAAAAGTTTTGACAATACAGAGACAAGTTACGAGATTCCTTAAAGTAGATGTTCACCTTAGAGCAGTAGTTCTCAACCTTCTGGCCCTTTAGATACAGTTCCTCATGTTGTGACCCAACCATAAAATTATTTTCGTTGCTACTTCATAACTGAAATGTTGCTACTGTTATGAATCGTAATGTAAATATCTGATATGCAGGATGGTCTTAGGTGACCCCTGTGAAAGGGTCGCTTGACTGCCAAAGGGGTCGTGACCCACAGGTTGAGAACCGCTGCCCTAGAGGGACCTAATGTCTTACTAAATGGTAAATGTAGAGTTTTAAGAATTATAATTCTATATATTTTTAAAAATAAATGACTTCAGAGAGGAAGAGAAAGGGAGAGATAGAAACTTCAATAATGAGAGAGAATCATCGATCGGTTGCCTCCTGCATGGCCCCACACCAAGGACCAAGCCCACAACTTGGGCATGTGCCCTGACCGGGATCAAACCTTGACCTGCTGGTTCATGGGTTGATGCTCAACCACAAAGCCACACTGGCCGGGCAAGAATTATAATTCTTTAAAACAGAGTCTTGAAACAAAGACTTGTGTGTGGTGTTGTGAAAATTGAGGTCTTATTTTGAGGGTGATAAAGTCTGCTTGTGCTGCATGACTTGTGTAGAATGGGCTGATAGGGGAACCTCTGGAATGCCCAGAGAGGATTTAAGAAGAAAGTGGTCAAAACTGCCTGCACAGTGATATGGGGAGGGGAGAACAGGGAGAGGAAATCTTTGGTACAACAAGGTGGGGGTGGGGGACAGGGCTTTTGAGGTCAACTCAGCCAGTCACAGGACAAAAAGAAGAGTCAGAATTCCAGGGGTGTTGACTGTGGGTGAAGGGTACTGAAGAACAGAGTGGTGACACTTTGCCATGTGCCATGGAGATGAGAGGTTGGCACATGGATAAGGAGGAGACAGACAGACATAGCAGGTTTTCTAGGTGCGCCCTTTGAAACAAGGCACGGAAATGAGGCAATTTTTCTGTGGTAGTTTTTCAAGGAAAACTACAAAACTCCAGGAAACATGGAATCAGAATTGTGTTCTCTTGCTTGAGGTGGCCACCACTTATAGTACAGACATAGTTTCCCTACTACAGAAGATTAATAATAGCAACCTTACTGTACCCATTTGAATTTACATGAAAAGTTGGAAGAAATAATATAAAAGGCAAAAAGGGGAAAATATATTAAGGGAATAGAGGAATATCAGTGTCTTGTGGAAGACAAGTGGAAAGTGACACAGTGAAGCAAAAAAACTACTGTGGCAGTAAGAGTTCTACTCCAATGGGATGTGCTGGGGTGGTGGTGGAAGTCTCTGGACAATTTACATCACTGTCATCATTCTGTGCAGCACAGAACTCTGGAAGTACTGGAAGGCCCAGAAGGTGATAGGTACTTTCAGAAGTTTATTCTTTCTTTTTTTTTTGGGGGGGGGTCTGCAATATTTTTTCTTTATTGATTAAGGTTTTACATATGTGAGCTTATTCTTTCTTTTTTTAAACATATACTTTATTGATTTTTTTACAGAGAAGAAGGGAGAGAGAGTTAGAAACATCGATGAGAGAGAAACATTGATCAGCTGCCTCCTGCATATCCCCTACTGGGGATGTGCCTGCAACCAAGGTACATGCCCTTGACCAGAATCGAACGTGGGACCTTTCAGTCCGTAGGCCGACGCTCTATCCACTGAGCCAAACCGGTTAGGGCGACCTTATTCTTTCTTAACATTTTGCTTTTATCTGGAGATGTGCTGTCTTCCTGAGAAATCTTCATGATAGAAAGTCTACCTAAAACTTATCAAATCCATAAAATTGAAAATAGATTATATAGAATTCGTGGTGTCTGTGTACATGGAGGAATTTGCCTCTGCTCTGAGGACATGGCCTTTTTAAATTTTATTTAGTTTTGTTAATCCTCACTGGAGGATTTTTTCCCCCATTGATTTTTAGGGAGGGAGGGAGGAGGGGCCACTGATGTGAGAGAGACACATCAATTGCTTGCCTCCTGCACAGCCCTAAACAGCTTGGGATTGAACCTGCAACCCAGGTACATGCCCTTGACTGGGAATTGAACCCACAATCCTTCAGTGTGCAGCCTGACATTTTAACCACTGAGCAACACCAGCTGGGGCAGGACATGGTCTCTTTAAGCCTGGCAGGGATGGTCTCTGGAAGGAATAAGTAGGACGTTGCAGAGCACTCCATTTCATTGACTCAAATAACTGCTGATGTGGCTTTTGAGATCAACTCAGGCTTTGGATTATTATTTTTTTATTATAATCTATTTTTATACTGTCTCATGCATTTGTTTGTGAATTTGTTTGTTGAGAATTTATTGAGTGTCTATTATCGGAGCACTAGGCATGGGTATATAGAAATTCATTAGACATGTTCATTGCCTTCTTTTTTTTTTTAACCCCCTTTTTTTGATTTCAGAGAGGAAGGGAGAGGGAGAGAAAGATAGAAATATCAATGATGAGAGAGAATCATTGATTGGCTGCCTCCTGCACACCCCCAACTGGGTATTAAGCCCGCAACTTGGGCATGTGCCCATGACTGGAATCGAATCCGGGATCTTTCAATATGCAGGCTGATGCTCTATCCACTGAGCAAAACCAGCTAGGGCTTCACTGCCTTCTTAGAACTTACACTATAGTAAGGGAAAGGATTGATGTTTGTCCAGACTTAGGGTGGCCAACTGTTTCAGTTTGCCCATTTTTAGGACTGCAAGTCCTGTGTCCCAGAAAGCCCCTGGCTCCTGGGAGAATGGAATGGGGTTAACTACAGTCATGAGACATTTCTTGCACCTCAGTGCTATGGGAAAAAACTCACACCTGCTACATCCAGTGATTATTAGAAATCTTTGAATGTTGGACACACAAAAAAATCATGACCCACGGATTTTAGTCAACTGATTTTGAGACTAGCTAGCTAAGATTTTGTTAGAGAATGGGTATGCAGAAACAAATGAGGTCTCTCCAAAGTAACTCCTGATGTGGAGATTATCATAGGGCTGGGAAGAGATTGAGTTGAAAGGATTTTACAAAATGCTTTAAAACGTTTGGGCTGATTTAAAGAGATGTTGGCAGAAGGTTCTGGAAGGAAGAGAGACAAATCCATCCTTATTAGAGTTTGATAAAGATATTGGTTTACCTGTAATTTTCAGGAGTATTCTGAGAAAGTGAGAGGTAAGGTAGTTGAACTTTAAGGCCCCTATTTTGGACTCCAAATTTCTAACCTTTTCAGAGACTTGAAATCCAAACTTGAACATGTTAGCTAAGTCATGGGTTGACCTGCTGGTACAGGCAGTTGTAGCTGTGTTGGAAATGGTTAACTGCCATAGCAGGTATCTGAGACTGAGAAAAGGCAGGGGCAGGGGGATGTCTTTTGGGATGTCCCAGACCAGCCTTTGAGGCCCTCAAATCGAACAATGTTTAATGACTAGATGACTGCGAAGTACTTAGAATATGCTTTTGCTAATTCTAAAGAAAGGAACATGAGTTAGATGCTGAATTTATCAGAAAGAAGGTGAGAGGTGTCTATTTATGTTGTGGTTAGAGACTTTGCTATAGAAGGGGCCAAGGAACTTAGATTTTTAGAAAGTGGGACTGATTCTGTTTAGAACAGGTGTGGACTGGGGCAGAGCTGAATGGCCATCCTCCAACCTCAGCCTGACTGAAGTCATCCTCCCCCACCCTTGCTTTAACTTCTTTACTAAGGTTATGAAGGAGGGTGTGGCAGCCAATTTTTGGTTGACTGGCCACTGCTCCCCTCCCTCTTTCCTTTCCCCTTTTCTCTACCCATTTTCAGCCTTTCAGTGATTGGTTTAGGGGTGATTTATGACCTAGATTTAAATAATGAGACATAGAAGTTGCTGAGTAATATTCTAGAAAAGCTTTGTAATATGCTGGCAAGCCTTTTGTCTCTGTACCTATCGCTTCTTTCCCCCAGGACAGGACTTAGTCTTAAGTTGCATCTTGTGACCATGAGACAATCGGTATAAGGATGAAGTACACCTGTTATGGTTGCTGCGGTGGAAAAATGGAAAGAGCCTGGGTCTTTGATGGTATCATTGATCAATTGCACTAACTCGTAATTGTCTGCCCCCACACTCCTTGTTAATGAGAAAAATAAACTCTTAATTACTCAAGTTAGACTTAGATTGGTTTTCTGTTAGTTGCAGCCAAATTGATCCTTTACAGATACCAAAGGGAAAGAAGAGGATGTGGTTATTCACTTCTGATATCTGGGAAAACAGGAATAGAAGGGACAATTTTAGGCCTTGCCAAAGGGCCAGTAGGAATTTATTATAGCAGGTAAAAGCTCTAATTCACCTAACCAGAGCTCCCTTGATCTGCCAATAGTGTGATGGTCTGGGACCAAGTTCAGTGATTAAAGAAGCACTGACTGACCAACTCCTGAGTAGGAGTGTTTCTGAGGCAGCCATTGAGAGCAGGGAAGCAAGAGCGCTCATTTTGCTTTGCTTGTGGGCAGGGGCACATTCCTTGTCCTCATGCGTCCCGGAAGAGAAATCACAGCTAGGTATGGAAAAGCCGTGCATACCTGGGATTTTTTGGAATCTGGAAGGGCAT